ACAATGCACTCAACTTTCCTGGAGCGTCTCCCGAGACAGACCTGCTGGAGTTGCCAGCTCTCAAGATCAGAAAGGAAGACTATTCCAGTGCAGACCTCCTGGCACTGGTGCCCACTATCTAGCCTTCCCACAGGGCTGCCACATCAAGTGCTAGAAAGAGGGGGCCTTTGTTTCTTTACAGCAGACATCCCCCTTTGGAGCACTCAAACCAGAGTCATCAACCTTTATAGCAGAATCCCCGAGATGCCTCCTTAGAAATGCATGTGCCTAGGTGAACATCTACCCTGAATAAGTACCTGCTGGGTAGGACCCGGGGCCCTGAGTTGTCTACTCAGCATCCTCACCCTCAGATGATTTTGATGCTGAGGACCCTGACCCATTCATAGACAAATCCCCATTTAAACCTAGTCCTTTCTCAACTTCCTCTCCAAAAGGAGGGAAGGCTGTGCCTGCTAAACTCGCCCTGATGGGAGGGAGGGAGGAGGAGAGGGCGGAGTTAATGGAGGAAGGGGCAGGCAGTCGGCAGCAAGACGGGGAAGTTTCTGCTTTTCAAATACCCAACCCAGCAAGTGTAACCGTTATACTCTGATGGGTACTGAGACTTAATTTGAAAGCCCTCCCGAGACTTCCCTCCAAGAGTCTAGAGACCTTCCTGCAAATTGAAGGAGCGGAGGAAACTCCCATTCCTTGAGCATTATTTTCCTAGAACAAGAATGCTAAGTGCTCAACATTCCCAGCTATCTTTATTCTCTCCACAGCCCACCTAGACCCGCTGCCTACTTCCAAGCAAAATGAATTGCCTGCCTACTGCTCCGCACTCCCCAGAGCACTCGGCCCCTCTCCCGCATTGAGCACTTATCTGGCATTAAAGCTAATTGTTTGCTTATGTCTTTTCCCCAGGCATCCTTTGCTCCTGAAGGCTGGTTGGTACTTTCTTATCTTTGTACCACGCAGGCCTGCCTAAGAGGAGCTGCTCAAACGAGGGTGCCAGGTGGGCACGTTGCAGATAAGCTCCACTCTGACCCCTGGGTTGTGCTTTGAGAGAACCGCACTTTGAGGTGGTGTCTTTGCCTTAGCCATTTTGCAGTTACTTGTCAACACATTTCCAGAATTATGTGACTACCAACAAATCTGTGTGCAAACACTTCAGGAACAAGTCATTTCCCCTAAAAGACATTTCCCATGAACTGTGAAGCCTGTGTTGTTTTGCAGATATGGAGGTGTATACATGTGTGACACCTATGTACATGTAGCGTGTACGTGTATGTACTATATATATATATATATATATACACATGCATTTCACCTTGTGATGTTCCCTGCGCTATGGCTTCCAGCCTACAAAAGCCGTAAAAGCAAAGTATTTTAACAGCAGTGATGTTGAAAGAAGACACTGTGAATACTCTCTTGGGACACAGCACAAGATGCTGTTTTTCACATTAAAGCAATCCAACCCCTGCCACACTCCGATGTCAGCAGTTATGGAAATTTTGCAAGGTTTAAAGCATCCTTTATCCAGCACCAACCTTCTTCCACAGAGCTCTTCTGGAAAACCCAAACCTGTTATTCTTCTCCCTTTACGAGGAAGGTGACCCATCATCTTGCTTTGGCTTCCAAAGCCCTTTCAGCTGTTCCCTGGGCTCTACTCTGCAAAATGCCCATTTTCTTCTGGCCAGGCTATACTAACAGCCCCTCTGAACAAGACTCTTCACTCAAACTTGGTTTCTGCTGTTCCCTCTGCCCAGAATGCTATCTTCCCCACCCCTGGCCTTTTAAAATCCCACCAATCCCTCAAATCCCACTGGAGTGCCAGCTGCAGCTCAGTGGATGGGATTGAAACCTGGCTCCACCATTTACCTGCTGTGTGACCGTGGGCAAGGCACTCGACCACTCTGAGCCTCTCTGCTCATCTTCAAAGGACATCTGAAAGAAGAGAAAGTAAAATCCTCAGATGGCGATTTTTCAGCCCCCAACTTAATCTGACCACTGTCTGAGAGCACCCTGTGCCTTTCTAGAGCTGATTCACCTCCAGTACACTAGGAGGTCACAGAGGTCAGGGGGTGGCAACTGAGACATGCCTAGCACAGAGCAGCTATATACTGAGTATTGGATGAGGAGTTCATATACCTCCTTCTCACTCACAATTCCATCCACATAATTCATAGGTCAGTTGCTTCGGAGGGGCAGTGCCTAAATACAGGAACTCAGAACCATCTGACTTTGCATCCCAGCTGTAGGACCTTAAGCAAGACATTTTCTGTTTCCTGATCTGGAAAGTGAGGATGGTAATATCTCTGCTTCATGGGGTTGCTCAGAAGATTAAGTGCACTAATGTCGGTGAAGTGCCATTATCATTATTAGGATGTCCTCAAGCTTTGGGATCGGGTTTTCCCAGCCTCAGCAAGGACTGGCCAGGCGAATATCTGAACTCAGTGGTTTTAAAGGTGTCCGGAACTATGGCCCTAGTGTCCCATGACCAACCATTCACGGGCTCTGGGTAATTTAGTTTTCGTGAACTCCTTCCTCTATAAAATAATAATAAAATGAATTATATTTTATGACTACATTGGTATAAACATGAATATAATTCAGGCTGAATTCATTATTACATACTGCTTATTATTTTATTTTCTTCTTCTGATAGTAAAAGAAATTAAAATGAAAACAATTTTGTGGGCCCCTAAAATTACCGTGGGCCCAAAACATTGCACCTTCTGTGCGGGACAGAGATGTCAGTCTGGCCCTAAGTTTCTGCAGCTCAGCTCTGAAGTGTCGACTGGGAACAGGCTCCTTCTCACCGCTCTTCTCCAGCCGCTTCTGGGCTCTTGGCACACCACACTACCTTTGTCCAAACTTGTCCTTTTTCCTGGGTCTCTTTCCCCTGCCCCTTTCCCTTGTTTTACTTCTCACACATACCTTAGAGCCCCAGCTCTGGGAGTATCAGAATCCCCTTACAGCACAGATGGCTGGACCTTACTCCCTATTTCTGACCCAGCAGTTCTGGGGTGGGCCCAGGAGTCTACATTTCTAACAGCACCCGGAGGCTGCTGTGGCTGGTCCCAGGACCCCACTTGGTGTACAGCTGCTTTCAAGGTCCTGTCCGTTTCCGTTCTCTCTGCCAAGTCTTCTCTGACCTGACTTGGCCACGTTTCTCCCTCATGCTCTCCGAGAACTAAAGGCCCTTCTGTTTCATGGAATTTTTTTATTCGTGTTTCTCTCTCCCATCTGCACGTAAACTCCACGTGCCTCCGCTCGTGTGGAATCTACACCCAGCCAGTTGTAGGTGCCCAGGAAACGCGCTGACTGCTGCTCAGGAAAGTTGAACCAACTTAACCTCCCAGAAACAGCGAAAAGTATCAGAATCCGCCAGCACTGCATTGCCACTTTACTTTTTTTCCCTCCTTTATACTTGTCAACTTCATAATTCCTCACCCGCTTCTAGTTCTTGAGGTAGAGCCAGGAGCTGGGCAGAAACCCACCTGCACTTCCGGAAGGCCTGGCTTAAGCCCCGCCCCAGCGCTCGCCCCGCCCCTGTGCTCCGTCCGGGGCCCCGCCTCGTCTCCGCCCCAGAGCTCGCCCCGCCGGTCCTCCGTCCGGGGCCCCGCCTCGTCTACGCCCCGAGGCCCCGCCTCTCTCGGCGCCACGTCGCAGGGCTGTGCTGCGCATGCCCAGCCGGTCAGCCGCACGGAGCAGTGCCCAGCGCGAGCAAACTTACCCCGGTGCGATGTCGGGAGCCCGGCCGCTCGCAGGGCCAGTCAGGTAAAGCCTTCCGGCCCCTGGCACCCGGAGCTCGCCCTGCACCAGCCTTGGTCGCGGCGGGGCCGTACATCGCGGCCGCGGGCAGGACTGTTTACCAGGCAGCGCGCAGGCCCGGACCTTGGCACCTTCCCTGCCGGAGGGAAAGCCGGGCCTGGTGGTCACGGGCCCACCCCCTGCCCCTGGCCCCTGCCCAGCCCGCTTCCCTCCTCGGCTTACCGGGTCTCCACGGTTCGACCTCAGAAACCGCGAGCTTGCACCGGGCAGCTCTGGGTTCAAGGTCCTCTGCTGCGGCCACTTCCGTTCGCGACCTTGGGTTCTCGGTCACAGAACCCCTCGGAGCCTGGATGTGACCGTGTTCTCACCTCACCACGCTCCTGTGAGGATAAAAGGAGAAAAGCGGGAAAAGGGCGAGTCCATGGTGGCTGCTCCTGGCGGTGTTTTTATGGTGATTATTACAAGGACCAGCCCCTGATAGGAACAGACAAGTTTTTGCAGACTTTTGCTTCTGCTGGTGGTCCCTGTGATCCGTTCTGGGGCCTCGTAAGAGCCACACTCGGTAGGGTGCGTGCTCTGGGCGGGCCTGTGTGCTTCGGATGCACCCGGGGTCTCCTTTAGGGCCAGCATTCTGTGATTCATTTCAGGCATCTGGTGGTTTTTGAAATCCTTGGTTATTACCCAATCACTGAGCATCCTGACCTGGAGAAAGGGGCAAATAACAGCCCAGCTGACGATGGAGACATGACAGCAGTTACCATTCACTGGGCACTAGCTGAGTGCCAGACATAGTATAAGAATCATGTCATTAAATCCTCACAAATACATTCAAGACCCAGAGAGTTCATTCCTAAATACTTTAAAACCAGTTCTGGCTGACTTAAACATCTGATTTTGCCTACTATGCAAAACTGCCTTTACCACAGAAAAGTTAAAACCACACCATTAGTTTCTAGCGCTGCCATAACAAGGTACCACATACTGGGTGGCTTAAAGCAACAGGAATGTATTCTATGGTTCCGAAGGCTGGAAGTCCAAAAGCAGGGTGTCAGCAATTGTTCCATCTGTACATGGCCTCTGTGTGTGTGTGTGTGTGTGTGTGTGTCTTTCTAGGTCCCCTCCTCTTATACCAGTCATTGGATTGGGGTCCCACCCTAAAAACAGGATGATTTCATCTCAAGATCTTTAATTACATCTGCAAAGACCCTGTTTCCAAATCAAGTCACATTCTGAGCTTCTGGGTGGACATGAATGGGGGGGAAGGGTTGGCTTATTTAACCTATCACCTCATCAGCATCCAACCAGCAACAAAATATACCTGTCAAAAAGACCATGACAAATTCACCGTGATGAATTCAGGGCACCAGTTGTTATAAATCCATGTACTTGCATATCACCATCCACTGGTTCTCAGTGTGTGCTCCCCTGGTGCACCATCAGAATCACCATTACTTGGGACTTTGATATAAATGCCGACTCCCAGATCCCACCCCAGATTTACTGAGCCACAGTTGTGGGGTGGGCCCAGCAATCCGTGTTGTAACCAGCCCTCTGGGTGACTCTTGCCACTACGTTTAGGAACCACTGATACAAAACAATTGAAGACATAAAAGGTTTGATAACATGAGATAAGGGCCCGGTTAAGAGAAAGTCCCCAACCTTACAAGAGTCTCACCTTAACAATGACTTTTTCAGCAAACCTGTCCTTCCTGAACATGATTATGGATTTCAATATTTAAGTATTGCATTACTGAAAACATATTTCATCATAATTTAAGTTAGGTTTCAAAGTGAACTTGTGTACTAAACTGTGTTCTTAGTAGCTTTTTGCCTTATTTTATCTTGTCTACAGTCATGTGATTAAAAAGTGCATGGAAACTCAGAAATGGTGAGTTCCAAGATACACAACAAAGCTGAAACATACGCAGGACTAGGAGCCCTTTTATCATAACTCTGGTTACTAAAATGTTTGGTTTGTTTCTATTTTAGAAACAGTTTGATAGATGATGCTAAGGTCCGTTTAAGAAAGCATGATGTTGGGACCATCACTTGTCATCTGACAAATACTCCATCCTCTTACCGTTGCTGGCAAAAGAAGGAAAACTCCATCTGTTGTTCACCCTCCGGTCAGAGAAGGTAGGTGACTAAAAGCCTCCTGCCACTCAAGTCTCAGGACATTGAAAACTCCACAAAACTTTGCCCCTTGCACACATTTTGAGGCCACAGATTCTCAAATAGACTTTCAGAATTGTGATGTCCCGGGGTACGAGACGCCACAGGATCAGAGAGCAATTTTGGAGAGGTTTTGTAAAGAAAAATAACTAATTTAGCTAGCAGGTAATTTAAAATAGTTTTAAACAGGGTTTCTTACACTGGAGAGTTCTCTGTTGTGAGAGGTTTCGCATCATCCATGGCTTCTACCCACTAGGTGCCAGTAAAACACACACACACGCACACACACACACCCCTACTTTTGTGACAATCACAAATGTCTCCGGATATTGCCTACTGTCCAGCCACAGGGTAGGGGGCCAAAATTGCCCCCACTGAGAACCACTATTTTAGACTAATCTCACCCCAGGTATAATATGAAAATTCTGGAGCATGGAAACTAAGAACCTGGGCCCTGAAACTGGCTACGCATGTTTGGATGCAGCCTCTCTCCTTGCCAGCTGTGTGACTTTGTTCTGGTTACTTACCCTCTCTGTACCACAGTCTCTACTTGCAAAATGAGGACAAAATATTGTGCCTACTTCATAAGGTTGCAGAATAAATGTAAAACACCTAAAACAGCCCTGGCCCTTGGCAAGGATTCTGTACATGTCACCTGTCATTAGTGCCATTAGCAGACATGGCCTGAGGTATTAAGATAAACTGTTGTATTTTAAGGCAATGTCAAGCTGGGGTTGCCGATCCCCTGAGTACAGCCCTGGGTACATCATTCTCCCTCACAATTGGGGAAACTTCTGAGGAAAAGTTGAAGAAGCATTAATTTCAAAGTTATCCACATACAAAAAAGAAAATGGGCCATAACATGGTTTTTTAAGCAGAATAACGAAAAATATCCCCATGAGGGTGGAAAAAAGCTGAGGAATCAGCTGAAGGTTTGTGGATTTGGGATTAGACTTTGGACTCTTCTGTCTGGGCCAGGCAACCATGACATAATAAATAAGCAAGATGATGAAAATCCAGTTTCCAACGGGAGACACTTCACTGGGTGCCACAAGGCTGGGGCCTGTTCCCAGCTCTGCTAAAAAGCAAAGGAGAAGCTGAAAGACATTTTTTGAATTATCAGACAAAAAAATAATAATAATGTAGAAAATCTTGAAAAGACCAAAATGGGTCTCTGGTCTCTTTCACCCAGAGTAGCTTTGCCTGTTGATTATTATGTGAAAATCATCTTAGATCATAAACTCTGATGTGAAAAGGTCACATTATTTTTAAAAAGGTAACTCTAGCTCTGTCCTTCCCTGGAGTCACACAGTAGGACTCACAGATTTCCCCCCGGTAGGTGGGGAAGGGGACCCTGGTCATCGATCCTTCCTGCCAAGGTATGGGCTTTGCTCCATGCTCTGGAACTCAATTCTCGGCGCTGAATGTGCCCACACAGTGGAGTACTTTTTCAGAGGAACATAAACATTAGGTCTGTTTCTTACGCATTTGGGTGGTGAATGTTCAAGACAGTAGAAACATACCCATCCACGTTGTTTTCACCCGCTCATAACTAGAAGTGGTAACGAAGGTGTGTGAGGTTTCTACGTATTGTAGCAGTTCCCAGTGTTCCTGATTTAGTAGCAGAGAGGAACTTTAAGAAGTTTTCTTTCATTTTTTAAAAAGCTTGCCCAAGTGGAACTTTACACTATAGAATACTACAAAATTTATAATGGCATCTAGTTTATTGTTACACAGATATATTGGCCCTGGTGCTAAAAATGCCAACATGACCTCTTGATTTCATTTCTAAACATCAAGAACTGGCCTTACGAGTTCTCATTAATAAATATTTCAGCCCTCAGCTCACGTGACCGCCTCCCTGACCCAGGAGGTGTACGCCGATGTTACCCCCACAGCAGACAGTTGAGAAGAGGCAGACCCAGGACCTCTGCTGAGCCTGAGGTCTCTGTGACAGCTCAGTGGGAACAGTGGTGGGCATGGGCAGGAAGGAGTGTAAAAGAAATTGAGGTCACCTGTGCTGACAAGTTCAGTTGTGCAGAGAGAAGACTGGAGATTTACACCCATGCCTAAGACAGGAGAGAACTCATTACAAGACAGAGGAAAGAAAGGGAAGATCTATTTAAGGATGCCGCAAATGGAGATACAATCAGTTCTGAAATCAGGAAGGTGTTGAGTCAAGGATATAGGTGGAAGGGGCAGTGCACTGAAAAGAGAGTCCTTTTCTTCTATGTACATATGCAAGAAGATGCGGAGGCACCGACACAGGTTATTGCTAATGGCCCCAGTGACTGTATTTCCAGTGTTTAATAAACTCTTAATAAGTGTGTGGGATGCTGATTAAGAGCATGGGCTCTAGAATTAACATAGTTTACATTCCAGCTACACTACTTACCCCTTGTTTGAGCCTGTTCAGATTATTTAACCTCTTTGAGCCTTAGTTCCCTTATCTAAAAGTGGAAATTATAATAGCATATTTGTAGGATATATATCGACAGATGGATAGATAACAAAATGCTATATATACATACAGTGGAATACTATTCGGCCATAAAAAGGAATAAGGACTGATTCATGCTACAGTGTGGAAGGCCCTCAGAAACGTCATGCTAAGTGAAAGAAGCCAGACACAACAGGTCCCATATCATATAAATACATCAATATTCAATAATCTAGGATGTGTAAATCCATAGAAAGTAGGGGCAGGGAGGAGAGGGAGATGGGGTATCAACTGCTTAGTGGGTACAGAGCCTCCTTTTGGGGCAATGAAACTGTTCTGGAACTAGGGAGTGGTGGTGGTTGTGCAACCTTGTGATGTATTAAATGTCACTAATCATTCACTTTAAAATGGCTAATTTTATGTTATGTGAATTTCACATCAACTAACAAATAAAGGAAAACTTTAAAAAAAAATAGGTTGTAGAACTGTTTGAGGACTCTGAAAAAACCCCTAGTGAACAGCATGCCCAGAACATGGTGAGGTCTCAGTGAGGGTTATCTATTAATAACATTGCCCTTTTCATTATCCTTTTAGTTTTTTTTATCCATCAGTGTAAATCTCTGTGTGTACAAGGCATCTTTTGGGGGCATGTAGAGAAAAGTGAGAAGTGAGGGAAGTTCTCAAAGCCCATTCTTTTCGAAGGATTCAAGTAAAAGTGTTTTTGTTTTGGCCTTCTTCCCCACTTACTACCACAAGTGTGAGAATTGGTGTCTGGCACAAAAAAGTAGTTCCATAAATGATTTGTTGTGTGAACGAATGGTTCCAAAATTAGAATCCCACACGGCAGCTGTTCTTTCAATGTCCAGCTAAGAAGGTTGTCTGGGGAAGTCTGCTTCCCTGGAGGCAAGCGTGAACCTACAGATGCGGATGACATGGCCACAGCTCTCCAGGAAGCCCAGGAGGAAGTGGGGCTGCGTCCTCATCAAGTGGAGGTTGTCTGCCGCCTAGTGCCACTTGTGCTCCATGTAAGGGTTGGGGTGGAACTGGGTTTCTTAGACTCTCATGATCTCCCAGTAGATCCCCTCTCTTCAGGATTCCACATCTGGCCAAATAAGACCCTTGGAAGTGATGTACGTAATGTCAAGAGACTGGTTCTTGTGTGGACTCGCCCCCTCGTGAACTGTGTGGCCCTGGCCAAGCCTCTTTTCCTGTCTGGGCCCCTCTTCCACCTAGAAATGAAAGGCTGGACTCCATCTGTGATTTTCAGACTGGGTGCCATGGAAACCTGTAGGTGCGTCAGAATGTTTTCATTAACATTATTCAATTCGTATTTATTTTTCTCTGGTATACATTTATTCTGAGAATGCAGCTTGATAAAATAACACTCACTTGAGCATGCTGCATATCAGATTTTAGCCCCGTGGAGGCCACCTTTGCCCTAAACATATTCATTTTTATACATACCATAAAAGCAAGCTTCTCCATTTCACATTAACTGAGCAGTACCCTGAGATCACTAGGCAAGCTGTTGGAAACTATTTTTTGTAACTGGATTTCTGTGTGAATCAGAATCACCTTGGTAGAATATATACACACACACATGCGTGCCTGTGAAAAAAACATAAGCATTAATTCTGAGGCTGAAATAGCCAGATCTTATTTCTCATGAGCTCAACCACAACAACCTACCTGTAGTATTAACCGACTTTAGAAGGACTAAATGTTGTAAATGTGAACTTGGATAACAGCATTACTTTATTGTATAAAATATTAATTTAAACTTTAGAATAGTTCTAGATTATAGAGAAGTTGCAAAGATATGACAGAGTTTTCATATATCCACACCCAGTTCCCCCAGTGTTAACATCTTACATCACTGGGGTGTTGTCACAACTAAGAAACCAATGTTAATACATTGCTGTCACCTACACACCACACTCTACTCACCTTTTTTTTTTTTTT